AACTTATTTCAGAATTCCGGCAGCTATTGCATGAGATAGTGAATCTACTGTGCATCAAAGTTTACGGCTTTTTTCTCCTAAATGAACAACGAGAAAAGTGGTTAGCAGCTACAGTGCGATTTATCTGCTCCTCTGAAGCTGTTTAAACAGGACAGACAGATACCCAGAGAGATTTATCCTGAGGAATATTTTCCTGCCACCTTAACTGCAGAAAAGAAGGACGTGTTCCTGGGGTCCCAGTCACATGCCCCCCCCCAGCCCTGGTAAAAATTGTTCCTTCCGCCCACTTGAGAGTGATTTTCACTGCGCGTGCTCGACTCACGAACATAACTTACAGTTTACCCTACTTGTCCATTACTCTTGTCCTAATTTCTTCAAAATACTGACCTCGTAATGCGGGTGGTGTGAGAACGATGAGTCTTAACTATAGGGGGTTTATAAACCCTGTCCAATTCTCATGTTTTTATTACTTATGCAATTACAAAAGCCCGATGACGAATTGGTGAGAACATTTGTTTGCCGAATTGACTTTTAAGGTCTTCTCTATGATTCTGGCAACTAGGAAGAACTGATGTCTACACAAGCAGGTACCCTGGTAAAAATTTGACCACATTTATAGGGTATAGATGTACAAATTCGGATAATCTGTACATATGACTCTACTATCACACTAATATGTTGTAATAAGTTCTCTTTTGAACTGTCTGGACTAACATATTTGGAATTTACATTTAGATACTGCTCCAAGACAGACTTCAGAGGACGACCTCGAATTCACTGAAAATGAGGAGCCGGCGGAGTTTGAGCACCTAACTAAAAAACGTTGCCTGCATACTCTCTGGCCTCCAATGCGCGACCTTGCCAAAGGGTCGTGCGCGGTGGCCCGTCGTTTCGCCAGTGATTTCTCGGATGCTTTCACAAAGCCGAACATTGGACTGGTGTTTGGCAGCATTTTCCTCGTTTACTTTGTCATATTTGGACCAGCAATTACATTTGGCACTCTCATGAGTAAGAGCACTTAAATGCTTTTTTAATTTTCGCGATTGTTCCTTTTAATAAGGCCATAAACTATGTACAATATCATCTAAGGCGCAGACAAATTCTCCCCTTTTAGAAATCAAAGGTATTACAAAACGTGACTCCGCAGGTTTCCATCTGTTCTCAGCTGTGTTTTCGGAAATCACATGTAAAACCAAACTTTCATATCCAAACAAACGTTTGCACACGATACAGGATAGAAGTAATTAACTACTACTTTGACCTACTACTACTCAGACTTGAAACAATTCTACTTATACTATTATGACTACTACTAGCAGCATTGCTACTCCTGCTATAACTACTGCTAATATAACTACTGATGTTACTGTTACTATACTACGATTGATAATATTATTACCTTTAAAAAGGAGGAAGATCTTCGGAAAACGAGTTGTACTCGTGAATTTTCAAACAGGCATCACTTGTTCGTCGTCAGACTAAATGAAAAGTTAGGGCTGGGAATGTTGCACTAGCAGTTTTGGGTGCAGAGTTTACAACGAATCGTGCGCCGGTCGACGGGCTGGTTACCGACAGGCCGGCGTCTTGAGACTCGCATCAGGGAACATAAGATAGCCGTTCGCCGACAGGACCCTTCATTAATCGGATTTGCGCACTCCCTTGAGTGTGATCACTGATTCAATTGGGATGGCACCGAGATGATCGTCATGGCAAGTGAGATATTCATTGAAGCTTGGCACTCGAGCCCGGCTAGTATTAACAGACAACTAGAGCTTAATTCAAACTATATCGGTTTTCGCGCACGGTCAACTAACCTGCGCCCAGCCTGAAACAACAGCAGGTGGCCCGTGCTCGGTCAAGTAAAATTTCACTGACTTTGAACTCCTCCCCCCTCCCCCGAACACGTGGCCCACAATACAAACGTGAACACCTCCCTACCCTCATCAGCACAACCTATCGCCGCAGGAATCACGTCACTATAACCCTCCCGCCCAATCCCACCCCGTTCGTTGTAACCTCTGCCCCCTAAACCTATATTGTGACATTCCCAGCCCTCACTCCTCATTTAGTCTGACGACGAACAAATGATACCTGTTCGAAAATTCACGAGTACAACTCGATTTTCCGACGA